CGCCACCGCTTCAGGCCTCACACCGAGGGCTGGTCCTCCTTTGCGGTCTGTCGCACACAGAACGAAAGAACGAACTCTCCCGTGAGGGACTGAGAGGCGCTATCCTTGAGAGGCTTGTGAGGGACAGAGCCAGGCCTGTTCCTCTAAAAATACGCCCTGCAAGTAGGTCAGTGCACAGGAGAGCTGGGAGCAGCCAGCGGGGGAGCGGAGTGACTGGGCAGGACCCAGCGCCTGCTGTGCTGGCAGCGGCCTTGGCCAGCACCCCTGGGAGAGGGAGGGAGGGGTCTGCCCCGGGCTGCGGGCCTCCTGCTGCGAACACTTCCTCGCTTTCTTCTCTGCTCGAACCCCATGTACAGGCTTAGCGGTCGCCTCCACTCCATCTCTACGGGAGCAAAGCCAGACGCAACAAGTCTATGTTCCTCTGTGGCCGCCAGGCCCCCTGGTGCGCTCCCTGTGTGGGGGGGTGGGGGCACCTGCACAGACCCCAGGGGCTGCCCAGGACCCTGGGGCACAAGGGGAGGAGCGGCGTGCGGAGAGCAGACTCGACCAGCCCCTCAGCACATCGGTGTGGACAGTCTGAGACCAGCCCCGGCCGAGCCCTCCATGGCGCTGCTCTGACACCCCTGCCTGTCATTCACAGTCGGCCTCCACTGAGGGAGGCAGGGGACCACAGCTGTTTGGTGACGAGACGGGAAGATGAAGTGGGAACATGATTGAGGCCGGAGCAGGAAGGTAAATAAAATGCTGCTGCGGGACGTGAGCGCTCCCACAGACAGCAGGCGGGCGCCACTCAGACCCCACGCGCGTAACCAGCACGCACAGCGGCCACCACCTGTGAGCCCGTGTGCAGTTTGTCACAAAAACACTAACGAGGAGGGTGGAGCCCCCTCGCCCCCCCCAAGCGCAGGAAAGGCCGGCGGGAGGCACAGACGGAGCAGGATCCCCCTGTCCCCCGTGAGCACTTCCCTGTCCCCCGTCAGCCGCAGGCAGACACAATGGGCTCGGGCAGGCACCTGCCTGGGGGACGGTGTCACCAGTTCCCTCACCTACGAGCAAGTTACAAACACGGAGAACCGGATTTCCGCCCGAGGGTGTGTGGGCCCGCCCCCCGCTGGTGGGGAGCACCCTCTGGGGAGAGCAGAGGAGCCCACCGACTGCGTCTCCCAGGGCTCCTGCCCTGCCCAACCCGGCCCTGTCCTGCCCGGCCCTATCCAGCCCTGCCTGGCCCTGCCCTATCCAACCCTGTCCTGCCCTATCCAACCCTGTCCTGCCCTGCCCTGCCCTGCCCTGCCCTGCCCTGCCCTATCCAGCCCTGTCCTGCCCTGCCCCCTGCCCTGCCCTGCCCTATCCAGCCCTGCCCTGCCTGGTCCTGCCCCGTCCAGCCCTGCCCCCTGCTCTGCACCCTGCTCTGCCCTGTCCTATCCAACCCTATCCAGCCCTGCCTGGTCCTGCCCCCTGTCCAGCCCTGCCCCCTGCCCTGCCCGAGATTCCCCCACATGCTCGGCTTCATGATCTCTGCTCACACAGGGAAGTGCTGGGCGCAAACGCGTGAGCCGAGGGCGGCCTCCTCCCTGCGAGTCTCAGCGGAAACTCGGCTGCACGTGGGTCAATTATGCAGAAACGGCTCCGGCCGCCACGCAAGGAGACCTGGGCCTGACAGCCTGGTGCCCCGCGGTTTCTCCAACTCCTTCCCGACCCAAATCACCTTCACCAGAGGTTCTGTGTCGCCTGCAGCGAGGAAGGAAGGAGGGAAGAGCTAAAGGAGAAGAGGGAGGAGGGAAGAGCAGGTTGTGGCGATGCTGGTGGGTCCCCGACTTCCCCTCTCGGAGGGACTGAGATGGCAGACGCCCGCCCGCCCGTCCCCCAGGGCGGCGCCCCCGAGACGGTCCAGGAAGCACCTTCTCTCCAGCGCCCGGCCTTGTGCATCTCGGTGCAGCAAGCGGCCTTCCAGGGAGCGAGAGCCCCGGCGGCCGACTTGAGTAGAAACGTGACCACCAGGGGCCCTCGAGGACGCGATGCATCACCACAGTCACCAGCGCTGGGAGCAGCAGGGACCGCGGGCCTCTCGGGCAGGAACCAACTGGCTCCCGGGTCCTCTCCTCCCTCCCATGTAAGTGCTGCACAGAGTCCTGGTTCCAGATCGCGGGGTAAATGTTCACAAAGGGAGCCTCTGGCCTAGGCCGTCCGCTCCCAGGAGGCTGACCTGGGGGGGTGGGAGGAACTGCCCTCCTCATCGCACCCCTAGGTGGTGCCAGAGCCGGCCCGTCCCCCAGGACGGAGGGAAAGGCACCTCTGGAGACACCCAGCATTTCTCATTTCCCATTAAAATCCTCAAACCAGCTGACAAGAACGGCAAAGGGAAATGGGGGGGGGGGGGGGGGGTTACAGAGGAAACAGAGGCGCCACCTTCTGACGGCCGGGCCTGGGCCTCCGCGACTGGAGACCCGAGACCTGGCTGGCGCTGGTGGAGCTGCTGAGTGACTGACATTACTTTCCTGTGCGAAAGGCACACCATGAGCTCACGCGACCTGCGACACGCTTCGGCGACATAAGCAACACACCGGCCAGTTCGGGGCGCGCCGGAGGGGGTGCAACTGCGTGGTGACGACGCCCACAGCTCTCGCCTGGGCTCAAAGGCTGCTTGAGACCAGGAGTTGCCATTCCCCCAGAAAGGACGCGCGGAGCCTTACCCTGGGCTGCCAGTTCTCGTACTGCTTCTGCAGGTTGGCACCGATGGTTTCCAGGGCTTTCTGGGGACCCATCGACAAAGGATCTGAGGAAGCAAGGAGAGAAGCTTTACAGGGGCAGGTCCTCCCGCAAACCTCATCCGCGTCCCCGCACACAGCTCACTTCCAAGTCACCCCGACCCGAGACCACACGGCAGGGCCCAGGGTTCATCTGTGCTGAGCAGGTGGCGGAGCGGCTGGGGCGCCCACAAGGGCTCCCGCCACAGCTCCCGCCATTCAGAGGAAACTGGTTCACCAGGCCTGTTTCACCCTCCCCGCCTCGCGGTGCCGGTGGCCTGCACTCTGCCCAGCTCCCTCTGGTGCTCAGTCCGGCCTCGGGGCAAAGGCTCGGTGCGCGCCTGTCCACCGACACCGTGTGGGGAGGGCCTGCAGCCAGACCACAGCCCCTCCCTCCCACACAGGAGCAGGGGTGGGGGGCACACCCAGAGGGGCAAGGTCTGGACCTCGACCTCTGCCCTCCTGGGAACACCCGCGTACGCAGGGAGGCTCGGGGTTTGCCCACGTGTCTCGGGCGGTTCTAGAGCAAGACGCTGCAAGCCAGCAATTCCGCCCCCGGATTGGGCCCCGAGAGCTCTTTGCACACTTTTAAATTCTGTTGTGTCTATTAGCCTTTATGTGTTCAAAATTCAGATGAGAAATTTAAAAAAAACTTATTTATTCATTTATTTAAAATAAGAAACCATTACATTTGAACATAAACATTTATTATGAAAAAATGAGACTCGCACTGCTTTCCGTTCTGCCATTTCTGTAACACCTGCTCCGCCAGGTGCCGCTGGGCCCTCGGCCTGCCTGTGCGCTCCCGCTGTGCTCCCAGCCCGTGGGGAGGCACCCAGCCCGTGTGTTTTTCCCTCGGGCTCTCTTCCCCTCCCTCCCTCCCTCCCTCCCTCCACTCTCTAAAAAGATCAATGGGAAAAATATCCTCGTGTGAAGATTAACAACAACAACAACAAAGCCTCTGGGGCTTCTGCAAAATCAGCAAAACCTAATAAAACATGAGCTGCAGAGAGGGAGGGGGAGGGGGACTAGAAGGTGGGAGAGACAGGACTGGGCCCCGGCTGCGGGCCATGCGTCTTGACCTGGGCCTGACCTCCAGGCTGGCCCGCTGCCGCCTGTGGGCGTCTTCTCCACAGTCTAAAGGCCACACGGCCCACTGCTCTGTGCACGGAGCAGCGGCTCCCATAAGCATGTGCTAATTGCCTTAGTAACGAGCACACGACTAGACCGCACGTTTCTCCTCAGGACTTTGAAGGGCTCTGCCACCAATTAGCTGAGTCACCTTGAGGAGGATTTTAATTGAGAAAACACGCAATGGCAAAGGGCCACTTTGAAACCAGAAATGGCTTTTAATGGCCCCGTCTTATGTCACCACATCATCCGCATGCGTTTTAATTAGCAGTGGCTACAGTGAGAGGGCCCTGCATCTTCCTGAGCCCGAGGGTGGAGCCGGGAGCTCCAGCTGCACTGCCCAGGCCAGTAGCTCTGGCTCCAGCAGCGCTAACCAACGAGCAACCCCATCTGCGGGAGGTGCAGACACCAGGAGCAGGTGACTGCTCCGCAGGGCAGAGGGCGTGGCTGGGACGCCCTGTGTTAAAGCACAGCCTTGTCCTGTCCACAAACGTCACTGTACAGGGAGGTGGGAGGTGCCCAGGCGCGGCACAGTCCTCCGCCAGGGAGACGGGACACAGCTGTGCGAGGGCCCCGAGAACAAAGGTTCCAGCTGCAGGCACAGAGGTGTGCCAGGGCCCGGGGCCCCTTCCTCTTGGCTCGGGGTGACCAGGGGCCACACAGCTCGGTGCTGCCACAGTGCTGGGCCTGGCGCTGCCTCCTGCACTTCTGAGCTCCTTGCCACTTGAGGGCCCTCGTTCCTGGTGAGTTTCATCTCCTGCCACAGCCCAGCACCTGCGAGGGGACGGCTCCCGGGTCCCTGTGGCCACCGCTGAGCTCACCACCTGGGTTTCCACGTAGACACAACGTGTCCACCGTGGGAAGCCTGTGCCGATGCTCCGCAGGCCCAGCTGCGCCACGGCCACACCGCTTCCATCCAGCCCTCGACCCCCACCTCTTGCTCAGCCCCCAGCAGCTAAGGGCCCGTGGCTGGAATTCTCGGCCTAGGCCTCCCTGGGCAGCGGTGGCTGCAGTGGGAGACGCGGGCGCCCCGGAGGCCACGCGCTCACGGAGCAGCGGTGCATCGTCTGCTTGTGTTTCCTGGCGTGTGGCTCTTGTCGCCCTGAAAACCTGAAGTGCCACTTCACAAGCACGGACTCCCGGAGCCTCTGGAGCCGCCGCTCCCACGTGTGGGCCACGCGCACGTGGTCCACAGACAAGAACAGAAGGAAGAGCCCGGCTCCTCGCCAGCTGCCCACCTGCCCTGAGCAGAGCACGGCGTCTCTGGTGTGAGGTGTGTGTGCGGCCGGGCAGGACGGTGAGGCGGAGGGATGCAGGAGGCAGCGGTCTAGGATGCTTCTCTCTCATCGATGTCTCCTGTCCCTGCCTTTCCCAGACCCGCACGCCTGGGGCAATGGCTGTCCCAGCAACGCGGCAGGAAAACAACGAGAGTGGCCGGCAGGGAAGGACGGCCTCAAAGGACGACAGAAGCAAGGCCGCAGCGGCCGGCGGGGATGACAACGATGACAATGTCGGATCGTCATCCACTGCGTGAGGACACCGTGAGCTCACGGGGAGTAAGCTGGGCGTGAGGAAGAGGCAGGGCTTTCGCGGTCTCAGAGCACCGCGCCCAAACCACTCACTGATGACAGAGGGAGCGGGACTTCGCTGCGGAGCCCAGGGCACTTGCCCGGCCTGGTGACGAGGCAGCTGTAAGCAGCAATGGGTCCGCCAGCTGCACCCCGACAGGACGCGCCGAGGACGGCACCCCTGCCCTCGAAACCTCGGCTCCCATCCCCCTAACGGTGAGGCCCGAGACTCCGGCTCCCTGGGGAGTGAGGCACCGGCACGCAGGTGTCAGTCATCCCACAGTGAGACGGTAACTAGACCGTGAGCGCCAGATGCGGGCACATTTAAAGGAGAAAAGGACGTAACCCAATAGCCATGATTTTATTAATTTTCCCTGAAACACTCTCTCCACCACAAACCACAGATGAGTGCGACCAACAGCTTACAGGTCCAGGGCTCCGGAAAGACGCCCGGTCCCCGGCTTACAGAAACCGGCGCCGGCCCCTGGCACGGGGGCGGGA